GTAGCAGTGGTCATATTGTTATGGCACATATTAAAGACGTATTAAAGACGTGCGATAAGAGAGAATTGTATGATAGTTATCATACATATATAGATATATATAGATATATACTCTTGAATAGATATATACTTAATAGAGAAAAAAAGAAACAGACCGTTACCTTGTTACTTTTTTACGTCATCTTTTGTGTATCAACACAAACAAGGTAACGGTCTGTTTCTTTTTTCCCTATGTCTGTCGCTATGTGAGCTATATTTGAATGTTAGAAATGATAGAAAAACAAAAGAAGCATTAAATGCACTATTTCAATCTGCCCTATTGTAGACCGATATATCAAAGAAACTGATTTTTAAAACTTTTTCTGCCTCGTTTCTGCTCCTTTTTGCCCTAAGGTCTACTGATTTTCTCATTTTCTACTTCTTTTTCCCAGGTTTTTCTGATTTTCGTGTTTTGGATCTGGGTTCCCTGAACTCTTTGACTCTTCTCGTATATATATCTCTGTATAGATGTTTATATCACGTGGAGCAATCCATCTGAACTTTTAAATTTCCTTAACCTCAGAAAAAAACAATCTGATATGAAGTCTTTCTCCGCTCCTTTCATTCACTCGATGCGTCGCACAATCATTGAACTAAAGTATGTGCTAGGTCCAGTATACGTTGTTGTGTATATGTAGTTTATTTAGTTACTGAAAAAGATATCTTTTGCACAAAAATAGCGTATATTTATATCTGAGATTTGCACGAAGAGGGAATATCCAGAGCTGATATAATAAACAGGGAAATTGGGAATACATGTAAGCGGCCACAGTAAATATAAAGGACACAAGAACTAACACTGGGAAAATTCCTGATAGAAAGAAAGAGAACGAAAAAGATACATATAGTAGACAAACTGTTTAGTAAGTTAGAAAAGAGTATATATCTATATATATCTATATATGTATGATAACTATCATACAATTCTCTCTTATCGCACGTCTTTAATACGTCTTTAATATGTGCCATAACAATATGACCACTGCTACTACAGCAACTTTGATCCTAAATAGGCAATGTAAGGAGCTTGAATCAGACCACTTATCAGATTACAACATTTGGCGAAACAATGATGATCCAAATTGCTTAAATTGGCATGCAATTTTAACTGGACCTGTTGATACACCATACGCGGGACGTGTTTTTCATTTGGATTTGCAGTTTCCAACAGACTATCCATTCAAACCACCAATTGTCTTGTTCGAAACGGCAATCTTTCATCCAAATATTAATTCCAAAGGAGAAATCTGTCTTGATGGACTACAAAAAGAGAATTGGCGAGCGCTGACGATAACACAAATACTGTTGTCTATAACATCTCTACTGATTGAACCGAATGCAGATACTTTTCTAATGCCGGAACCAGCTGCTTTATACAAAGAAAATCGTCAAGAATACGATCGAAGGGCAAGAGAATGGACAATGAAACCTGCAACCATGAAGAATAAGCAGCATCGTGAGTCAGCAGCTATTTCTGCTGATAATGACGTCATTTTGCCTACACTAGCAAGAGTGAGTTTTCCTCAAAACATTTTTGATACCTCCGGTCGAGCTAACAACGACAGACGATCCTATCTCTAGGTTCCTCATCTAGGAGCTAATGGCATTTCAAACACGTCAGCCACCGTTGTGCATAGAACCCACATATCTCACCAGTAGTCCGCAGTCACATTCAACAAGCGCTACTAGATGTAATTTTAACAGAAAACGAAAATCCTGCACATGGCTGGGGAAATGAGAAGAACGCATGAGCAAGACTTGTCTCACGCGCATACGCATGTGACTTCATTCTGTACCAAAAGATCTAAGTTTGTTCCAAAGTTGAGACCGATATATTCCTTTTCTTATTTAGAACGAACAAGAAACCGATAAAAAGACGTACCCAGAACTGATACGACCAGTTTGGTTATGGAAATCAGCCACGGAAGACAAATGGAGGTTTTACAACGACGTTGAGAATGAGATAATCGAAAAAGCCCACCAAGCAGAACAAAACAAATTGCAACTTGACTATTATGTGATAGACTTGGAAAATAACACTCAAAGTTCTACACTTAATTCCAGACTACGTCACCACCAAGTTCAACGCACAGTAGATAATCAAATAACATCTAATCGAAATGAACGATTTTCCACGGTTGAACCTTTAGTTAAATCATCTGAATCAAAACAAATTTCACCGCTGATTACGAAATGTGAGCAGTTGAAGACATCGACGCAGAAGAAAGGTAACTTTAACAATGCTGGCGAGAAATATGCAGTGGTTAACTTTGACACAATACACCGGATATACAAAGTGTTACAAGACGGTGTAGGACAAGCCCTTCAAAACTACGAGCTTCTGATACAACTACAACGACTGTTCGACAGTTGGCCAAGTAAAACTGATTTTGACCCCCGCGTTAAATTGATACCGTTACACCTTTTCGATGACATACAGAGGGTGTTTAGAAGCAGGAGAAAAAATGTGACTCCCTATCTAGAATGGGAGACAAATGGAAAAAAGTTACTTGAAGAAATATTGACAGAGTGTAGTGACATCAGAATTTTAACACTTGAAAGCAATGTCGCAGGTCGTGTTGAAAAAGAAGGATGGGATAGCGATAAACCAGATCAGGGTAAATGGCTTGCTGATAAATTGAGAATAGTCTCGGACGCCGATATTGGTAAATGTTGTATCCGATTGTATACGATGAATTCATTTCTTTACAAAAAAACTAATGAATTTCTTCGAGAGGAAAATGAAAGGAAACTGGCGACCTTAGGCTTATTTGTACGTGAGTTGTTAGTATTTTACAACAAAAACGCGCATTTAGTTCCTGAAAATAATACGTATGTTTATCGTGCCGTAAATTTAACATCATCAATGATCACTGAATATCAATCAGCGATAGACAATGGTTCATATCGGTGGCTTGGTTTTTCTTCAACAAGTCGGAATCCACAACTCCCTGAATTTGACGACTGCAACACATTGCTGATTATGGAATTGAAGAAGATTTGCACGGATAATAACGCAATCGATATCAGCTCACTTTCCCAATTTCCCCAAGAAGAAGAAATCTTGTTGCGTGCGGGAACAGAATTTACGGTTCAAAATGTTCAATATGAAGCAGCAAACAATAAACATGTTATTAACCTCACTGTCTATGTATAATTGAATGTTACCGTTTTTTTCTCTTTTATCAACTTTTATCCTTATCCACATCATAATCATACCGCACACACGGCGGATTGACTGTGCACTAACTCGCAGCGCGCTAGTTTATAATTTTTACTTTTTAGTTTTTTGTTTCTAGTATGCAGTATAATCAGTATTAAACAATTATTCAAGTAGAAAGTATGTGCTAGGTCCAGTATACGTTGTTGTGTATATGTAGTTTATTTAGTTACTGAAAAAGATATCTTTTGCACAAAAATATGTGACTTCGCATGTGACTTCATTCTGTACCAAAAGATCTACGTTTGTTCCAAAGTTGAGACCGATATATTCCTTTTCTTATTTAGAACGAACAAGAAACCGATAAAAAGACGTACCCAGAACTGATACGACCAGTTTGGTTATGGAAATCAGCCACGGAAGACAAACGGAGGTTTTACAACGACGTTGAGAATGAGATAATCGAAAAAGCCCACCAAGCAGAACAAAACAAATTGCAACTTGACTATTATGTGATAGACTTGGAAAATAACACTCAAAGTTCTACACTTAATTCCAGACTACGTCAACACCAAGTTCAACGCACAGTAGATAATCAAATAACATCTAATCGAAATGAACGATTTTCCACGGTTGAACCTTTAGTTAAATCATCTGAATCAAAACAAATTTCACTGATCACTGAGTTGATTGATG